TTTTTCCTTTTTCTAATGCGTCTCGCGCATCACGAAGAGCCCATCTGTCAATAGGTGTGGGAAACGTCCGTCTTACCCTTTCCTCGACATCTTGAGGAGTCTGAGGTGGAGGATGTCCACAAAGCATGCCTAGCATTCTTAAAATTAAACTCTCCACATAGTCTAAGGCATCTTGCCGAGCTTCGAGACTAGGATGTACTTGTTCTAGTACCTATAAAGTGATGATTTTCTTCAGCTACAAATGTGTTTAAAATATACTAATATTATTATAATTATATTATTGGCTAAAAATATATGTGATTATATTGTCGAATATATCTCAAGACAGATAGATCGTCAAAGGAGTCGACAACCAGGAGATTGGGGATATAGAGTTACGATAAAAAAAAATCCACCAATCGTCGATGTGTTGACAAGACGACATTTGAGAAATCATATGGTGGCCGCGCACGGCGATGACGTTGGTCGGTGTCGTTGATCGATCCAGCTCTCGACGTAAGATCATTGGGACGAAAAATGATCGAGCGTTGAAGCGCGAACAAAACATAAGGAGAGACAGGGATGAGATGGAGGGGATAGAACGGGATAGTAGAAGACAAGAAAGTGAAATATACACACGCGCATCACGCGCGCGCGCATCCATGCAAGAGGGACACGGAACGAGAGAGATAAAGAGATAGAGAGAGGAGGGAGATAGATGCATGAAGCGCGACAAGGAGCAGAACGGAGCAGAGATAACGCGAGGATATTCAGAGCGACAGAAGACTGCTTGTTACCTTGCGCAGGGAGTTGACAAACACTCCCTTCCACTTGGCAGCATTTTCTTCTTTCTGAAAGTCGTAACCCGACGACTCGCCCACCGCTGACGCCGGCGACGAAAACATTTCACCAAGTGCTCGAGAGAATCTCGCGTTTGTTTAAGAAAAGTTCGTAGAATTTTCAAAGAGCATCATCACGAGATGACGAGAAAAATCGACCGAGACGTCCGTCAGTCAGTCAGTCAGTCAGTCAGTAAGTCAGTCAGTCAGTCAGTCAATCAGTCAGTCAGTCAGTCAGTCAGTCAGTCAGTCAGTCAGTCAGTCAGTCAGTCAGTCAGTCAGTCAGTTAGTCAATCAGTCAGTCAGTCGGTCGTCAGTCGACTAGTCGCTTGGTCGGTTGATTGATCTTATGACTCCACAAGGCGCGGATATCTTCGTCTCGCACTGGCAGCTCGATGCTTTCGATGCTCAACACTTAAGCCACTCGATTGTATCTGCGCGCTGCTCTCATGCTCCACGCGCCCGTCGGCGCGTCACCTCCCGGCAGCGTCACCAAGGCCGCCGAAGCCGTGGCCGAGCCAAGAGTCCGAGAACTCTGGCACTCGTGCATCTTTTACACGCCCTTTATTCCGTAATCTTTTCCAGGACTCGCAACGCGAACACCACAAGCACTAGCGTTAACATTACCGACTGGAAGGGATGGCCTTATGATGGCCGCGATACAATCGCGCATTTGGAAGTTTATCGATAAATGGGAGCAAGGGATGGGCAGTGTTGTTCGTTCATTTGTTCGATCGATCGATTACGTTTCAAATTCGCCTAGTCTACGTCACCGCTTCTATTTGCCCGCGACGTTACTAGACGTCCATAGAAATAACTCATAAAGACGCCTGGGCTGACCTTTTATTTGTCGCACAAATTTTCTCGGATGCGTTCATTGGCCACCGAGAGGAGAGAGAGGAACTCTCGGGGCTTTAAAATTCCTCTAGTCGACATCCAATCAGCTTATTCGGAAAATTTGTTGACGAAACTTTAAAGCGCACATGCGTATTTGAGAACTGATGACTGATGACTGATGAGAAAAAGAAAAAAAAGAGAATTGCTCAAGAGGAAAATATTAATATAATTTAGGCCCAGTTGCACCAATATTGTTTGGGCTTTAAGCGAGACTTGATACATAATATACGTGATACATATTATATACTATATTAAATACTACTTAAAATTCAAAATAACGTTGGTGCAATCGAGCCTTAATATGGTAAATTTTCAATTGAGGTTCTCCATCTCCAATTTTGATAAAAATAGGCTCATTCGACGTGTTTTTGCACAAAACGAAAGAATTTGAAAAAAGCGTCGCTTTGCCCTGCGAACCGAAATATTAATCGTTAAAGTTTGCATTATTCAGGGTTAGGAAAAAACCTGTCATACCGACAAAATGTATCGACATGGGCATGCGCTGTGACCACATGCACATGCATTTCAGTCGTTTCGCGCAATATAGAGCGATTTTTGTGAAATTGCATAATTATAAATTTTGTTTTAAAATAAGATCTATAATTATTCTATTCCATATAAAGTGAATTTCCACAAGGAAATTTTTACGAAATCCACTCTTCCCCCCTTCCCCATGCTAAGAAACAAAACGAGGTCTATAATTGTTCGATGAGTTTACGACTTTTCACATAAACCGAGTTTCCACAAGAGTTTTGCGAAATCCTTTCTATCATAAAACCCTTGTGGAAACTCACTTTAAAAAACGCGTCGTTGACGCGTTGATGAGCCTAATTTCATCAAGATCGGGGGTGAGGCCGCTAAATTAAATAATTACCCTAACTTCTTTTTTTACGCGACATTTGTTTAACTTTTTCTTTTTATTCACAAATAGACATAACATAGCGTATTAAAATGAATTCGGAGGTCGATAGTTCAAGTAATGTCCAATTTGACCAGAGTCGTAGCGAAGAGAACCGAGATTTGCAAGAAGAAATTGATGATACTTCGCACGGTGATGAGGAACAACGAGAAAAATTATTGCGACTACCCATGGGAAGAATAAAAACTATTATAAAAATGGATCCTGAAGTTTCTTTGGTTAATCAAGAGGCTGTGTTTTTAATATCAAAATCAGTGGTAAATTTTGTCGAATAGTTATTTTGATGCATTTATGTAGCATTGAACTATTTTTTTTTGCAGGAATATTTCATCGAGTCTCTTGCAAAAGAAGCCTACAGATATACTATACAAACGAAAAAAAGAACTGTTCAAAAACGTGATGTGGAAAGCGCTATTGATAATGTAGATGCTCTTGTATTTTTAGAAGGTGCACTCGATTGAATATAGTTAAATAGTAGTGCTTGTATTATCATAGAATTGAACAAATTATATTGGACAAAATTTTTGTACTGGTAAAGTGATAGTTATGTAGCATTTTTGCATTTACTTTAACATTAGATGCTACTGACTTTGAGAAATGAATTTTTATATATATATATATATATATATATATATATATATATATATATATATATATATACGTAAGACACTATGAATACAACAGTGCACGTAAGTAGCAGATGAGAAACTTTTTTGTGAATTGATAAAATTGACTAAACTATCGAATGTTCTCTGATATCATCGAATTTACTTGGTACAAATGATAAAGTGAAGAAAATTATGTAATTTAGATATTTGCAAACTTATAATTTATGTATACATGTGCGCGTATATATAAAGAGAAAAACTTTTATTTCTAGTTGAATCTCATTTATTGTATCTTTTATTGGTATACAATAGATCGTTTTACATATGTATAATGTTCGTGACATTTCATAGATGGAAATTTATGTAGTAAATTAATTATATTTACGTGTTAAAACTCATAAAAAGTATTTACAGTCATAATTTATGTTCGAACGTCTCTGTTCTTAACTTTGTCTAATCAAATTAACCTGTATAAATTGAACATTTTTTTCGAGTTTACATTTGTTACTTAGCTATTCATACACAGAATGAAAATGAACACACGAAGCAGTGATAATTTTCATAATGTGCATGTTAAAATTAAAGGGAAATTTGAGAAAAATTTAAAATTTTATTCAGTCTCGGTAAATGAGTTAATAATCCGCAAACATTTAACTGTACATCAACATATGCATTTGTAACGTAATTATTAATAATATGAATAATTCTCATTGCTTTTTTTTAATTCTTTATATTTTTACTCCTGTACTTATGAGTTCGAATAGCATCTTTATCGTATCGTAATCTATATCGTTTTTAATGACAAACACTATATTCTATATGCTGCAACTGACTGTGCAGCTCATAGACATAGTATAGATAAATCGAGCGTGCTATATACCAGGCAATGGGCGAGCGAGAAGAAACAACATCTGATTTTTTCTTTCTCTCTCTCTAATAGAAGAAGGTGGGGGAAACATTAAGTGGGGATTGTGTCTATGATAGGGATCATACACATAGTTCCCACACTGGTTTAACCAACTGGTTTCTTTTTACTCGCACATGTCGCCCATTGCCTGATATATAGCATGCTCCGTCTATCTATACTATGTCTATGCAGCTTCTGTAATATAATATCGCACACACA